GTTTTCGAATGACAGTTTCTACTTAAATTAATCAATTAAAAGTTAAAAGCTTGAAGTAGGTGGAATGATGCTTTAAACTGCTTTTCACTTTTTCTACTCCATATTACACAAGAAGCAACTATTTTACCAAACACTACAAACTTTTACTTTTTCAGAATCACTTTTTCTCAAACACTGTCAACTTTTACTATTAAGTATTTTCTCCAAAATCACTTTAAAAATCACTTTTTTAAAGTAAAACCAATCGCAAACACTCGCTAAAGCACCCATCAACTTGTTTTCAACTTTTAGCTTTTAAGTGATTAATTTAAGCAGAAGTTGTCATTTGAAAATATTAACTTCAACTTTTTTTAAGTCAAAAACTGAAAAACACTTATTTTAATCTTTAGCAAACACTCCCTAAAAGTCCAACATTCCAACTCCCTCCGTGACTCTGTCCTACTTTAAAGTTTTAACTAAAAATTCTTATTTATATTTTGAAAAATAATTAATATTTTTAAATAAAAATTTAATAGTCATGTATTAAAAATAATATGATTATAAATTAGCATTGATGGCATCATTATATTATATATTGTATACATGTGAAAGCTATTTCTCAAAATATATTGGAATAACCGAAGTCCCCTAAGAGGCCACGTAATGATGGTGAAACATCCAAGGCGGTAGTTCTAGTGGACCTGTCTGACGAAGAGCAGTGATCCCTCCCAAGTCTCACACTACTCGATCATCTCATTTAGACGAACACAAAAAGACATCACATGATAACAAGACATAACAATATGACTCGTTCTTTCGTTTTTGGAAGTATTGGTAGATATTTTACTCCCAGAATAATCAGGGATCACAAAGGGGCGTCCCACACTTTCCTAGCACCTGCAGGACAAGTAAGTTGATATTTGAAGGGGATGGGCGGACATAATTGGTTTGGTGACTGAACATGACAAAAAGAAATGATAAGAGAGACCTACCCATGTCAAATACATCTCATTGAGCCATATCCTCTCTCACCCTCATTTCTCCCAACCATTCGAATTAGACATTGAGGGAGTGGTATAGGAGGGGTTTGGGAGCATCCATATTCAATCCTTGAAGCTTTGAGGAGAGGAAGAACTCACACACACACAAAAAGAGGTGGAGAGGACTGGCTGCAAAGTTTAAATCTTTAGCCTCGCTCACTTCATATCTCGAGCTTCACTCGTCCAAAATAGGCTTGTGAGGTGTCTAAAGAAAGATCTCAAGATAAGGAATCCGGGAAGGTGAATCTTCAAACGAATGGAGTAGTGGAAGGTCTCAAAATAGGCGTAGATAAACACAAACTCACATAACAATTTTTCTTCTCTAAAGTGAGTTTGAATCCAAAATCTTTCTTTCCATCATCTAAACTTTATGAACGACTGAGGAGACTTTTCTACACTATTATAAGTGTAGAATATGTTCTTGACAAGGTTATTTCATGGATTTAAAGGATATATACTAACCCAGAATGAACCTTGAAAGGTTAGGAAGCGAACTCACCGGAAAACACCCTTTCTAGGCACTGTTTTCATACCGTTGGTTAGGGGTCGAGTTAGCACCTTTAGGAGGCTGCATAGCACCATTTTTTAGCCAAAGAATTAGTTCTCAACTTTCCTTGGCCGGAGTTTTAAGCATTGGATTGAGGTGATGATCGACATCTAATTGCTTAGAACTTGTAGGTTAAGCATGAGATTACCTAAATGTCTAAATCATGTTTTCATGGGTTATGATGCTTAAATATTGATAAAACATGGATATAATTGATAAGGAATGAACTTGATAATGATTTGAGACCATATTGATAATATGGAGTTAAGTGAGCTATTAATGGACTATTATGTTAACATGGGCATTATTACTCATGTATGAATTGCGTGAATATATAAATGAATATTTATATATTGAAATTGGATGTTTAGGTTGCTGTCACATTTCTCTAAATATGTTAAGACTCACAGATATGAATCATTGATTTGGTATGAATAATCTTAATAGTATTGAAACACTAGTTAATGACTATTTGTAATTATTGGTAGGATTGATCCTAAGGTTTGGATTGTATGTATAGCACTTGAATATACTTCAAGTGTGATATAGTTTCAAGCTGAGATTAAGTTACAGGCAGTCCTTAAGAATGACCCAAAGTGGTCTATTGAAATGACAATTCTAGACATGATATTTGCTTAGGATTTAGGCTATGATGCATGGTTATGTAATAGAGCCGAGCTCCAGGAATGCATGGTGAAATAGTAGGCTTGTGCCCCATGATTTGCATGGTGATGTACCTGAGCCGAGCTTTAAGAAATGCATGGTGGAGTATTAGAATCGAGTCTTATGATTTGCATGGTGATGTACTAAATCGTGTAACGTTCCTATTGTTCTTTAAAATTATTCTCTAATTTTAGATATTTCATAGATGGCCTAAGATGAAAAAGATAGCATCACACGGAGTATATTGATGATAGCTAAAATATTAAAGAAGATGAAAGAGAACCCTATTTTGCAGCAGAATCAATAAAAAAATTGTTGTAGATGCAAAGATAGATTATTAACTTGTGAGTTTGTGAGCAGCAAAAAAGTGGAGGAGAACAATCTTTGGCTCTCTCCTGCGGAAGAGGAACAGAGAGGAAAGTTGGAAATAAGTAGGCTTTGAATTTTATTTTTGAAATATGGGAAAAGTTATCTAGCACTTCATTAGCTCCCAAAGTGAGGATTTAAAAAAGTGATAAATATAGGTGCTAGGAAGGTTATGGTTAACACCCGCAAACGCTTATAAACACCTATACTTTTTTCTATTTTTCTCTTTAACACTTTCATTATAACACCTTTCAACACTCCATCCAACAGGTCGTGACTCCCGTGACTAACAAATTAGAACTCATATTAGAACTCTTTCTGTTTTTCTTTTTTCTTAATAGTTTTTAATCACGATATTTGAGTTAATCAAGTTTGGTAAATTAATCAACTTTGTATCATGTCATAGATTACAAAGTGAAATTAATCAACTTTGTATCATGTCATAGATTACAAAGTGCTCAATCTGGTATTCAGACACATTAGTTCTTGTTCATAAGCGCCTTTTTTTAATTTAGATTATTTGATCTAACAAGTTTAAGACAAGCTCTATGAAAGAGTGAGCTGGAGTGAAAACTCTTGGTAGAAAGATCAAATATGACACTGAAGGTGTATATGAATCTCAATTTGGACATTAACGTTATTTTTTGACCGAATAAAACATCCAGGTTTATTTTTCGTTTCAATTAAGTCATTCCTATTTAACGGCGTCACTTAGTCTCTATAATTCAACTATGGAATTTAAATTGACGTGTATGATGATGACATCCAATTCACTTAACCCAAAATTTAAACCTCAACCACTTAATCTTTGTAATTCAACTATCAAAGAGAATGATCATCCGAAGTAAAGTTGTAAGGAGAAGGAAATGCCAGGCCTGCTTATTTAATCCTAGAAATGCAAGGTTAAACTTAAAAAAGAGATTGTGCAATTAGCTGTGATATACTCATATAACCGTAAGAAATTGGTATGGGCGGTGCAGACATATGAGGATCACTTCACTCACTCATTAGTTTCCAAAACAACCGAGAAAATTCAGAGGAAAGCTAAACAAAATAGGCCTGCAATATGAAAAATCGAGTCATTTTTTTGATAAATGTTGATTTAAGCATTGGAATTCAATTTTATTACAAATCGAGTGAATTCCATCCTACAATCCCCAAAATCGAGTGAAAAATCTAAGCAACTTTACAGAAAAATGCTTCGGCAAGCAAGGAGAATGAAACGGGTTTCGGTTTTACACCCTAAGTTTCAAACCTATGTGGTTTTGGCAACCTATGCCTCTTCCCCTTTATGCACGTTCCTCTGAAACCTTCAAGCTCTGTTTGAGTTTGAATTGCTGAGAAATGGAATCTCGAAGAAAATTGAAAGAGGATGCAAGCCGCTGCTATAAACGATCGACACAAAACCATGTAACCTTCTAACCTAGTATCCAACTATCCATTATCGCAATTGCTGGCTTTTTTGGGAGGAGGATACATTGTTGGGTTCATAAGGGGGATTGGGAAGCGTGGAAATGGATCTGGAGTGGATAGCGAGAGAGAGAAACATAGAATAGATCATTGTTTTTATTTCAACAACGTTAGTGATTGAGTGTCCATAAGAAGTTGATTTTGTGTTTATTTGGTCCTTCTAAAAGGTTAGTGGCCATTTTGAACTTGGCATAAAACCATAGCGTCTAAAATGGTCTTTCTCCCAAAACTCTTTACTTGGAAAAACAATTTTAAAATTCACATTTTTGTGTTTTAAGATCTGTATTTTAATAACAAAATTAAAACTTATCACGCAAATAAAATGGTAGTGTTCCCGGCCCTTACCCTACCTATCTTTACCTATCTTTGGTATTTTGGATGGTTTGCCACTAGGACAAATAGCAATTTTTTTTCATAAAGTTTTTTAACCAAATTCTCGTACACAACATGAATACGAAGTACAAATTCTGAAATTCATCTCTATACAATTCTTTTTCATAACTCATGGAACATTCTTCTTAGTCTTGAGAGAGCCAGTCGCAACATGACAGTTATGGAACCCACCACTCCACCAGCGTTGCTCTAAACCAAACTAAAGGGTTAATAAACTCACCTATAAAAGCAAAACAACAGTTGAATGGCCCAAAGTGTTTAATCTTGTGGGAAGCTGAATTCAGGTGGGTAAGACCGTAAGAAGCTCATTGATTTAAAAATTCTTTGATATTGCGACTTCACACGTGGTATAAAAGTTAAACACCAAACAAGTTAACTACGTGTAAAATGTGCGGATAAAATATTTCCCATACATAATTTATACCGAGTACGTCTTTAACCATATTTTGGACTTTTGACGCTGTGATTTGAAGGTTTTACGAGCTTAGATCCATATTTTGGATGGATGATCTAATTCGATCATTAGATAAAGCTAGGGGTTAGGGAATACTTCATTGGAACAGCGTACCAGCATAAGTACGTAACCTGTATTTGTGAAAAAAATTGTGCGGCTGCACCCACACTGTATGCTATACAGCACATATACTAAGAGGGAGTCTGCCTTATCAGCTATATCTTTAAATGTTTTCACCTCTTGAGAGCAATACATAGAAGTTCAAAGTGATTAATTCATGCAAAGAGCTGGATAATTTGTGATACACAAAGTTCAAGTAAAACCAAGAAACTCCAACCCAGCTGCCGAAGGAGCCAAGCTATGCTGAGACAGATACTCAGGATTGAAAAACTTACTCAGATGCCTCATGCCGCTGTCACACAAGATTGTCACGATGGTGTGGCCAGGCCCTAATGCCTGCGCAACTCTAACAGCTCCAACACAGTTCATCGCTGAAGAGCTTCCAACAAACAGACCATCATTCTTCAACACGTACCTGATGAGCACCACTAAATATGAGCATCACCATCTTCGATAGCATGTAGTCCTATACAAATCATTAAAGTAAGGGCTAACCAGGCCCCGGCCCATCCCAATTCCCATAAAAGCTTTTACTTTAAAATGTAAAATTTTAATTCTAAAAGCTTTCTTTATTCCAAAAGACTCGCTATTTTTTGGCGTGGGAGTAAGATGGAATAAAGTAAAATGGCTCACTAAATTGTTTGCGCTTCTTTATTATGAAGAAGCGGTCATTCAATGCAATTTTCGATGTGATTTTCATCACCGGTCATCCGGAGACAGTCTCTTTGTGCTTTAGTGCAAGGGTAATGATAGGTAACGGAGGAATTCCAGTAGATAAAAGCAGTGTATTAATGAAGATTAAAGGTTGGAAAACAGAAAATTATGAAAGAAAAGGTTTGAGACTCTTCGAGTGGTCTCTCACTCCCAGTTCCGATCCCAGTTCCCAAGTTTCAGCCTCCGTTATTCTTTCCCCTACCCCTCTTTTATAATAAAACTCACTAAAAGGGCCAGCCCTCACTTAAGCTATTGGGCCTGGACCCCAATTATTGGAAAACATTAAAATACTTAATAAGACTCTAATTATTTGTAGTACTCGGGTCCCTATCATCACTCCCCCCTGAACTTCCACCTTGTCCTCAAGGTGGATGATAAGAGACTGATTTTCCATTGGGTTTCAGCAGGTTTTCAGCTTCATCCTCTTCATATAATTGATCTTCTGTTCCCTTCTCTTCTTCTGGCTCTTCCATCCAGATAAGTTGATAATTTTTCATTCCACATACATGCTCTTTGCCCCATTTGTTTCCACATTTGAAACATAGGCCCTTCTTGCTTCTTTCTTCTAAGTCCGCTTGTGTCAACCTTTGGCCATTCTCCCATGTCTTATTTGGTTTTGGCGATTCCTCCAGTTTGTTCTCCGAGAATGTTCTCTCCGGAGCAGTTGTTCTTCCCTTTGTCGCTTCCACCCAATTCCAGGCTCTGACAAGTTTTCCTCCATGTTCCTTCAAGCCTTTGTTGTCTTCTTCTTTATTTGTTTCTCCTGTCCATACCTTATTCTTCTGTTCAACTAGCTGGGCTGTGTCCATAAGATCAGTTAACCCAGTGGGTCGGTGCAACTTCAGCTCTGAGCTAATTTCTTCTTTGAGGCCATTAAAAAATACTCCTTTTAGCATCTCTGGGTCAGCAATTTTGAGGGGAGCTACAACCCTTTCGAAATGATCCCTGTACTCCATGACTGAATTAGTTTGCTTAATTTTGAGCATAGGGCCAAACGGGTTCTGAACCAATTCCGGCTGGAAGCGTCTGATCAAAGCTTCCTTAAAATTACCCCAGGAGTGGTCATCAGTCTGTTCATCCCACCATTGATACCAGTTCAGAGCCCTTTCGGTCATGGCTATCAAGACAACTTCCACTTTGTCACTCTCGGATACATGATTTAATTTAAAATAGCGTTCGACCCTGAGAAGCCATCCGTAAGCATCGTTTCCACTAAACAAAGGTAAATCCACCTTTCTTCCGGTATAAACCCGATCGTTAATTCTCGTATGCTCAGGAGTACGAGAAACGGATTTAGAATCGTGAGAATTACCTCCTGAACTGGACGAACTCACACTGGCAGAAGTGTGGCGCCGGCGAGGGGTGGCTGATCGTCCTCTTCTTTTCCTGCGATTTCCCTGGGTCTCGAGACTTTCCATCTTCGCTAGTAGTGTCTGCATCCGTTCATCCATCATTGACAGCATCTCTGTGCGCATATCGGCCATGGACCGCTCAAAAGATCTCTCTAGGTTATCAATCCTCTGCTCCATGTTCGATCGAGTGCGGACCATATACAGGTGCAGCGACTGGCTCTGATACCAATGATAGGTAACGGAGGAATTCCAGTAGATAAAAGCAGTGTATTAATGAAGATTAAAGGTTGGAAAACAGAAAATTATGAAAGAAAAGGTTTGAGACTCTTCGAGTGGTCTCTCACTCCCAGTTCCGATCCCAGTTCCCAAGTTTCAGCCTCCGTTATTCTTTCCCCTACCCCTCTTTTATAATAAAACTCACTAAAAGGGCCAGCCCTCACTTAAGCTATTGGGCCTGGACCCCAATTATTGGAAAACATTAAAATACTTAATAAGACTCTAATTATTTGTAGTACTCGGGTCCCTATCAGGTAAGGCTTCGTACATCTAACGCCCCTTACCCCACCGTAGGTGGGAGCCTTTGCGGAATTGGGGTAATGTTGTTTTAATTCTAAAATTTTATGTGAATCAATTAATTTTCCTACTCACACGACACTCGGGTTTCACGGGACGAATATGGACACGAGTAGACGTGTCCAAAAGCGGGCGCAAACCAGGCCCATCTTTCACTATTATTTTGCATATAAATGCGAGTGGGCTAGGTCCGGGTGCCATATAACATACCCATACCTGCTCATGGTGATGTGGAGCTTTTCTACCGATGCAAAGTGTGTGTTAACTTAACCGTCTGAGGGCAAAACATCAATCCACTCTAGCTGGGACCACCTGCGACGGTGAGGGTTGAGCGATGGCAGGATAAATATATGTATGGTGCGGGTGGGCTTTCGGTGGAAGGTCAAAGGCTGGATGTTGGAGTGATTCCTCTCGGTGGTCTTCCGGGTGGGCTTTCAATGAAAAGAACGATCTAAGGAAGACGGGCAGGCAACTCTTTGCAGTGTCATAAAATGTAGTGCCTGTGGCTGTGTTCTCTTACAGGTCTTCCGAGGGTATCAGATGAGAAGATCGATCAAGTGCGATCAGGAATCTCTGATTTGCAGTGGCAGAAAAGCTCTGCATCACCAAGTTTGAGGCCTTTTCGCAATGGGGAACTTGGGTGTTTGGTGCGTATAAGAGCAGTCTAGTTTATATGAAGAAGGATTCACACTGAGGGTGGGCAGCATATGATTATTGAAAGCAGAAAAAATTGTTTTGATTTGTATCCTGCAGTTTGTGTATCAGTCAGTATAAGGGTAATCAAATGTGTTCTATTTCGCTGGATAAGGGGTTGTTTGGTTATGTGGTCAAGAATGATATGGTGTTTCCTAAGTTACATGACAGTATGATTTTGAAGAGAGGAAGTGGAGGCAGAGTATATTGTATAAAGTACTGATCTATTTTTGTCTGTCTCCCTTTTAACTACGTATTTAACATTTTAAACTCTGATTTCATATGTCAATTTGTGTTAGCCGACCCTAAACTGTTTTGGGGACTAAGGCTTGGATGATGATGTTGTTGTTGCTGTTGTAACTTGTACTTTTGATTATTCATTTGAATTTAATTGACTCTTATATCATATAAAAAATTTGAATTCCATCCTACTAAAAATCTAACCTTTAAAGGAGTAAGCAAATCTTAAATTTGAGTTGATATTTATATCTAACATATGTAGAATGGGTTAAGAAAAGGTAGCGAAAGTTTAGGAAATTTTCATTGCCGCTACATTACGTAACAAGTAAAGCAAATGATTCACTAGTGTCATCTTAATTCTGGATATAAATAGCTCAAGAGATAGAGAAAAAAGCAAACCGGCTAACCTAGACATTTCAACTGCTTCCTTGTCTGTACCTCGGAATGCCCCATCCAGTTTTGCCAACTTAAAATTTTCTGTAATCCGGTTAATTCCAATCCCTTCAGTAATAGTATCAAATGGGTTCTTCAGCCTCCGCCCTTCAGCTTCCTCCCTTGTGTACATCACTCCTCTCGTTACTTTGTTATATAAGCCAGAACCAGGGGGGTCAACAAGAAAACACTTGATGTTTGCATTTTTTCCCTGTAGACATTAGATACAAGTTTATCGAGTCCTTCAGAGTTTTAATAACCGGTCGCATGCCATGCACTCTAATAAACATATGACATATTAGACATAACTCCAGTCAACATTTTATGTGATATGCTTTAAAACGCCCCCTCATCCAAACTAGACTGGCTAATTAAGCGGGTAGATAAATAGGCATTTGAGGTTAGTTTGCTCTACTTATCTACCCATTTAGACTTCAAATGGTCATTCAAACCATAAGTGTCAAACAAATAAATAAAACACAATCGGATCAGAAGTTGAATAACCAATACCTATGCCTAGATGTGTAGAAATTCAAAGATAGGTACCGTAAGTGTCACTATCACAATACTGAATGAAACAGTGAACACACCTTCAAAAAACAGGAAACGCCAGCAACTGTTCCACCAGTGCCTGATGCTGCAATAAAAGCATCCAGATTCCCACCTGTTTGTTCCCATATCTCAGGACCGGTGCCCTCATAGTGGGCCCTGAAATTCGCAAGGTTTTCAAACTGATCGGCAAAATATCCGCCCTTGCACTCGAGTGAGAATATTGAGCTCTGTTTTTCCTCTGTGGTTTTATGGCCATTGACTTGTTTAGCGCCATTTCTATCTGCTTCGCTTCTTATAGATGATATTTCATTAGCTTCTGATGCTCTTCTTCTTGCAATATTAACAAAATGGTCTTTGTGAGTTATTGAAACTGGCCGAACCCTTTCAACTGTAGCCCCAAGTGCTTCAAGGATTTGAGACTAAAAAACAGGCTAGCATCAAATTTGTTTAGATCCCCAAAACTGAAGAGAACAAACAAAACATTCGCAAAGAATGATGACCCGTGAAAATAACATAATGTTTCGTGTTCAAGGTTTGACACAGTAACTTCACTTATATTTTCTTCATTTATGAGAGCGCTTGAAGCTTAAAAAAACATTTCAGAAAATTTCACATCTACCTCACTCCAAAATAAGACCAATGTACAGTTTCTTCTTTTGATAAGGTAAGATCAAATTCAGGATTCAGTTGGGATCACTCAACTAGGCTATAAGGCACATTGCCCAAAAAACACACTCAAGATTGAGTCCAGTCTACTAGGTAGTTCAAGCAAAGTTTTACTAATGCATCGTTCTCCCTTTTATTCTTCATGTGTATGACTCTCAGAAGGTAGAACGGACATAAATTATACGATAGTAAGTCATAACTCATAACTATATATAAAAATATATCATTTAACTATTTATGCAATGAACCTTTTTGTGACTTTTTCTCTACTAATTTGACAAACTACATGAGCTATTAGGTTTCTTTAACCAAAGTGGTCTCTTTTTTTGGACAAAAATTATGTTCCAAACGAGCTTTCTTCTGGAGAGAGGAAGTATAGGCATTCTAAAAGTGATTGTAAATTGAGATTTATGTAGCTCTGAAGTAGCAAAGAAGAAAGGGAACAGAAAGAGAGTACGAATATGAAACTGGGGGGAAGATAGACTTGCATACCTTCTCAATAGCAGCATCATCAGGGATAACCACGTGGCATGTGCACCCATACGCAGGAGCTACCGTCGCAAGGCTAATGGCTGTACTTCCAGCACTGCCCTCTGTAACTACACCCCCTTCACTTAGGGCTCCAGATTCTAAAGCCTATACCAACAAGAATTATATGTAAATCAAAATACATAAGCGGGGAGGCAGTCAAATTCTAAAAACACAAAACCAAAGAAACACCGTGTGACTTCTGAAATTGCATTTGATGAAAAAACAAATACAGTATAATAATCACACCGCTGGCCGATAAAGATGATTGAATCATCCATTTCACATTTTATACCCTTGATCTTATTCTAGTTCTACATCTGCGGAGAGTTCTGCCTGTAGCTTTAAGAGCGTGTTTGGTTAGGTTGAAATTGATGGAATCAGGTGAATTTGTTGAAATGGTTGAATTGTCAGAATCTTTTGAATTAGGAGAAGTTATATTTAAAATACTAAGTATATTTTATTGATTAACTGAAGAAAAGATTATAGGAAAAAACAAAATACCCCCTCTACCAAAATTGGTCAATTCAGTCAGAAAAGTGACTCCATAATTAGTTGTTTTAATTATTACTTAATTCAGCGCGCGGAAAATTGGCTGATAAGCCGAAAATGGGGGCTACCGAACAAGCCCTAAATCTGTTTATTTGTCAACCTAAGTCAAACATGTCCTAATAATCTGACCCGAATGAATTAACACTCTTCCTACTCAATATAAGACATATTAAGTCGCCTCTCATCAATGTCACATTTAATACCCTCGGTCTCACCCATGGAATTAGATCATTTTGAACTACAAGATGAAGGAAATAACAAAGAACAGAACAGTGATGCAATTTATTGGATGCACAATGACTGTACCCATGAATGAAAACACCTGGAAAAATAAGAGGGTGAAGGAGATAGTGATGTAAATGAGATTAAAATCATTAAATACAGATAATTTGATGTAAGATGACTCAAAATTATGTTTGGGCTTCAAATTATATGAAACCCAACAAGAAAATGCACTTCAAATTATGTTTGGGCTTCAAATTATAGGAAACCCAAAATATATAAATACGGAGTAATTATATACACTTGTAATCAAATGCATTTGCCATTTAACCACTAATCATAATGTCACGCAGGAAAAAGTTCCACAGTAACGCTTCTAGAAGGGCTTGTAAACATAGTTTCCTGCAATGCATCTAATAAGTACTAATGCGACTTACAGCAATACCAAACCAAAGTTTAGTTTAAACAATCTAAGCAGACGCACGGAGCACCTGATATAACAAACTAAAAGTTCAAGTAATAGAATATACCTCCTCAATAATTTTCACCGCTATTCTGTCTTTAACACTCCCTCCTGGATTCAAGAACTCTGCTTTCCCAAGAATCTGTTGATCAATCGAAAGCACAGAGGTATGTTTGGTGAGTTTAATAGGAGATCTTTTGAAAAGATCTTTGAAACCGAGTTTTTTTGTAATTGTAAGTTTTAGCAACCGAAAAGATCTTGGGAAAAAACGTGAGTTTGCATTAGTATTGGTAACTTTTGGAGAACTTTTAAATAGGAGAGATTATCCCGCATAATAATAAGCAAAACAGGGGGAAAAACGAGTAATTGCAAAAGATGATTGAAATTGAAATTGAAATAAATTAGTGTGTGTGTTCAGAGAGAGAGGTGGTACCTCGCATCCTGTAGCGTCTGAAAGGCTGTTGATTCTAATCAAAGGGGTGTTGCCAATTGCGGCGACTAAGCCATTTTTGGACTTCTTTCTTCTGGGTGACTTCTTTTCATTGTGCTTGCAAATGAGGTAAGAGACAGCAACGGCTATCGAGAGCCCGGTGACAATAGCGTCGACGGTCTTTCTCACAGGCAGCATCATTGCCGTCGGATGTCGGTTAACTGGTGTGACTCTGGCATCGGAAATCATACACAGCCTGGGCTTGGTTAAATAAAGAAATAAAAGGGTTGTGTGGATCCAATGTTTCTATGTGAATTTATTAAGTTCTGATCTGATTTGAATTTTTTTATCTGATCTGAATCTTTCTGATCTGGTCTGATCTGATCTGAATCTTTCTGATCTGATCTGAATGATTCTGATCTGATCTGATCTGAATCTTTCTGATTTGATCTGATCTGAATTTTTCCGACCTGATTTGATCTGAATAAAATAAGAATAAGCAATAAGTAATAAGAATAAGACCCGAACGGAACACCTTCTAAATCCTAGAAAGTTGGCAGTTAATTGTGATATCTCTTTATGGGGTGTTTGAATCTTAGTTTTAAAACTGATTCTGCTCCTTCAGAGATCAGAAGCAGAGGCTAGAGTATTTGGATGAAAGTGCATTAGTGATTCTAGTGCTCTAATTTACTCATGGAATCAGTTTTTTTAGAAGCCGGGGTGACCAGCTTCTAAAAACTGATTCTGATTCCGTTTCTGCTTTAAAAAAGAAACAGAAGCAGATTCTGTTTCTGATTATGTCAACCATCGGTAATGTTACATTTTAGTACTTTAACTCTTTAATGAATCAAACTCGCGTCATTCACACGTGTTACCAATTAGAACCAATACCAACCCCATCCAGCCACAATGCTTTTTGTTTACTTTGCAGAAAGAAAGAATACAAGTATCATTCCTTTGCCGTTTTGATTAATTAACTTTTTTTTTGACAATCTCTAAATATGTTACATGGAATATATCAAAATATCTTTACATCATAAATCCGTAGTATGTTATATATTTTTCACACCATCTTATATATGTTTACTTTATACATTTTTGTTTTTTTATCCTTTATACATTTTTGTGTTAAAAATTATATTTCACGTTTTTTAGTCTAAATTCCAACGATTGAAAATTTAGGCATTTTTTACTTTATATATGTAATATTTGTGTCACATGAAAGATTATAAAAAATTACTACCTTCGTCCTGAAAAGGATTACCAAATGGACTTTTTGTTCAATGACAGTGAGCTTTGACCAATGATATTTTTTACTATGGATTTTTTGAGTATGAAAATTATATCAAATGTTCTTTATTCAAAATCTTTTAATAAAAGTATAAAATTTATAAATTACAAATTATTTATAAATTTATAAATTAAACATATTGTCCAAAGTTTGTGATCATTGACAAAAAAAATGTGAATACAGTGAACTTTTTCGAGACTGGGGTAGAATGAATTTTGATATATTTTTTATGAAATATAAAAACAAATTATAATTATAATACATTAATAAAGACATGCACTCTTGATAACACTAATACAGAGTAAAAGAGTCTTCTATAAATTCCAAAATAAACAAATGCTCTGTAGTTAATAATAGGAAAAATTGAAAATAATAATCCCAACTATTGCTGGTCCGCTTATAATAATCTCAACTATTGAGTATTTTTGTATAATCCCAACTATATGGATCATCCGCCAATAATGGTATATGAAAATATATTACCTCCTATAAAAAGTGCATTTTAAATAGAAATTAAGCGTAAAATTAAAAGTTGAGATTATTTATAGGGATTACTTGTTATATCTCTTTTCATCCACTTTAGAAACTACGAGAATTTATTTGTAGGGACAATTATTGACGGAAGGTCCCTAAAGTTGGGATTATTCTGAAATAATCAATAGTTGAGATTATTATGGGTGGACCATCAATAGTTGGGATTATTACTATCAATTTTTCCTTAATAATATTATTTCATACTTCAACATAACTTCAACATACTTTAATTTGTTTGTTTTGGATTTTTTAAGAGACTCTTTTACTCCGAATAATGTTATCAAAAGTGCATGTCTTTATTAATGTATTATAATTATAATTTGTTTTTATATTTCATAAAAAATATATCAAAATTCATTCTACCCTAGTCAAGAAAAAGTTCACCATATTCACATTTTTTGGTCAACGATCACAAACTTTGGACAATATGTTTAATTTATAAATTTGTAAATAATTTATAAAAAATTATAAGTTTATATTTTATAAATTTTATACTATTATTAAAACATTTTTGAATAAAGAACAATTTTCATATTCAAAAATATTCATAGTAAAAAATATCATTGGTCAAAGCTCATTGTCATTGAACAAAAAGCCAATTTGGCAATCCTTTTCGGGACGAAGGTAGTAATTTTTTATAATCTTTCATGTGACACAAATATTACATATATAAAGTAAAAAAATGTCTGAAATTTGAATTGTTGGAATTTTAGAATAAAAAAAGTGAAATATAAATTTTAACAAAAATGTATAAAGTAAACATATATAAGATGGTCTGAAAAATATATAATATACTACGAATTTATGATGTAAATATACTTTGGTACACTCCGTGTAACATATTTAGAGGCTGTCAAAAAATAAATAAAGTTAATTAGTCAAAATGGCAGAGGAATGATACTTGTATTCTTTCTTTCTTCAAAGTAAACAAAAAACATTGTGGCTGGATGGGGTTGGTATTGGCTCTAATTAGTAACACACCCGAATGACTTGAGTTCAACTCCCAAGGATGGTTTTTTGGGATATTCTTCAATTTTTGATAGCTTAATCATTTCAAATGACATGGTAGGGCTGAGCACGGATCTGGGAATTCCTGTTCCGTACCGAAGAACTGTTCCAAACCGTTTCAGAACCGATAGAACCGAAAAAATGTAACACCGTACCGAGTTTTTTTAATAATGTATGGTACGGTACCGGTTCTTAGTGAGAATCGTCCCGGAACCGTATTGAACCGAACCGTCTCGTACCGTCCCGAGTTGTCCCGAAAACTAGTGTTATAATCTAATAACATATTAAAGATTATACGTAATATATAATAGAGAACATTACCCGAAATAGGACTAAAAAGGTTTGAAAATTCCAAAATAGGACTACCAGGTTTTTATTCACAAAATAGGACTAATTAGTGTCATGTTTTGGCAGTACAACACTTCAAACATGGCACTGTTTTCCAAACTTGGCAGTAATTACTCCTATTTTGGAAATAAAAAACACGACAATCCTATTTTGGAATTTTCAAACTGTTTTAGTCATATTTCGGGAACTTTCCCTATATAATGTATTATCAAGTATAAATGTCCATATATTACAAATATATAAGTTCTTTTTGTAGTGTTATTTATAAATGTTAAACTAAACTTTTTAATATTTCATGGGGGTTAATTATTTAGGAACCAAATAACACCGGAGAACCGTACCGAATCGTTACAAACCGTACTGAAAATTGGTATGGGACGGGACATGTTCTATATATATGCGGGACGGTACCGGTTCTTGATTTTTAAAAGAACCGTACTTTGGGACGGGACATGTACTTTGAAATAACCGTCCCATGCTCACCCCTATGACATGGGTTATACACAAATGACGTGGGAAAAAATGATGACTAGGATATACATGTGGAATCTCGGCGGACAAGTGGCAATTTTTTGCCGGAATATTGAATGGTATTATCGGATGCAACATTTAAACGTAGTTGAGGTACTCTTTTGCTTCATTAAGTTAAGGTACTAAAATAGAACATTACCAATATTTAAGGTGTTATTTATGCATTTTACTCGTTTGTTGCAGGTTCTTTGTTGAGACGAGGATGAAAATAAACCGAATGTTTTGTATGTAGACTTCCATTAAACCAAATACCAATTAATAATTTGATTTTGTATACTTTTATTGTTGATTTTGCATCCCGTTTTTAAAAATTATTATTTACATCCTAACTCTGTATAAAAAGACAGAAAGTGTCATTCAACCATGAATACTAGTATGTTGAAGGTCAACAAGAATTATTAATGGAAAGACATTCTTGTCTTCCATACAAAATTGGAGTACAAATACAATTTTTTTTTTTAAATTTGGGCGCAAATTCTGGACAGTTAAACATTTAAAACTTTGAAAGGATGGATTAATATCTGTCCCACCGGATTAAAAATTGTCTCTGCCCGACGGAAAGCAGCAAATCCTCCAAGTTTTGCTTATTTAAATTATTTCCCGCGCCCCTCAAGTGTTAACTAAACAATCCGCTACCTGTAAACAACCCATTAGATTAGATACTCCTAAAACCACTACAATTTTTAGTTCGCTGAAGGAGAATGGAGGGAAAGCGTCCCGGTTACTCGCACCGTGAAGTATTGCGAAGGCTGAGAGGCATTTTAGTTTTTTCTGTTTCTGTTTTTGTTTTGATTGATAGGAAACAGGAGAAGTTTTTTTTCTTCCGACGAACACATTATATTCATTCGACGTGACTTCGGCATACTTTTGTAGAGGTAACTCGATCCATTGTTGAAGATCTCGCGAAACATCGCTCGCCAATCATTTACATTGATCGTTTCAGAAATTACTGCACAGATGAATCTGGAAACTGGTTAGATTATTTACAAGTTACAACTTATTTAATTATCACCTCGGTTATTAATAGCCTCTGCATATTCGGTTAGGGATTGAGTGCCATATTTGTTCTATGTGTTGCGATTAAAAACCAGAGTTGGTTGCGTTTTTTGGATCATGAATTGTGTGGTTCAGTTGGGATTATCATGGATATGAATCTTACTGTCAATTTATGTCTTATTAAGTGCAATGAACTTTTTATGAGTGCTTCTGCCTTTTCTCTTATGCGCAGTTCTTGCAGCTCTGGTTTGTCCAATGGGAAGGAAGTCATTACACTGAAGAAGGAATGTCATGCACGTAGGCTAGGTGACTTTCAAAATAGTCATTCTACCATGCTTATTCCCCGTTTTAGCAGGGATTGGAAAATAAAGATATGTATTGAAGAAAATGATCTATCTGAAATTTCATTATTAGTTTGAATTATTATGGTTTTTTTTAAAAGCAATTGTGTAAATTGTTATGGAATTGCATTTGCATTTTCCTTCTTTATGGATTGAATGAAACTGATACAATCCAAGCCGTTTTGTCCCAAATTAATCCAACATCTATTTATATCCCGTGTTGTGAATATATGCCATGTGAAGTTGGTAATCTAGTGTTGGTTGTTTCATGGTTTCCAGATGTTTTTTTAAGAGTGCTACTAATCATTCAGCAACTCCTGCAAGAAAACCGGCATGGTTCAAAAAGAGACATATATTACATGCACCCTTCTGTTTTTAAAGGTAAATGGGGAAAGGTTGTGTTCCCTTCAATATGTGTGACAATGCGAGTTGTAGCATTGAACATTTGAACCAAGGACTTGCATATGTGCTCAAGAATGGTTACAAAAACTGTTGAAAACTAATTTACTAGTCTCGTACTTTCGTATTTTAAAATTATATGAAGTCCATATAAATTTTGTGGAAATATAGATATGCATTTTATTTCAATTGTTAGAATCTTCACTTGATTGTCTTCATAGCCTGAATCTTTCATTTACATTGTCTGCTCACAACTTTATATTATTGCCTTTACCTTTTTTGATGCAGATCAAGCAACCGTTGACCGAGCAATTAATGATATATGCATACTTTTGCAATGCAGTCGGCATAACCTGAATGTGGTATGAACTCTAAATTGCTCTTGTAGCCTCTATATATAGAAAGCATTATGCAATCAAATATGTCAATGAAGATATGTGCATATGACTATAATACAATTCAGTATGGACGTGTTCGGTAATTTTTCTTTCTATCTTTTGCAGGTTTCAGTTGGGAATGGGTGAGTGCCCATGCAGGACGAAAACAATTCACTATAGCAATACTGTGTCTAATGCTGTTTTAACAATAACATTAGTACATCGATGTGATTTTTCAAGTTTATTAATTTACCAGAACTTATTTAGTCTTTTGTGTGAGTGCAATGAAATCCCTCTTTCTCAGAGAATCATACATATACAACGAATTTGATACTTTAAAAGACACTTTTTCCATCTGCAAAGAGTACCAATTATAATGTCATACTGTCATAGCGTTGTTGGGCTCGGGTATCATGCTATTTTACTGTTTAGTCATTGGTCGATAAGGAGACTTTTCTTGGTCAGCCTTGAAACATAATCACATCCAAGCACCATTACTGAATCATCTAGTTTAGCGTTAAAAAAATTCGTGGTAGCATGGAAATATTACACTGACATGGTTCAGAGTCTCTTGAAAGGTCAACGATAGCAGAAACGCCAACAACGAACAATCCTTAGAAAATCTCTCGAGGTTCTTCATTGGGGTTGATTACATGAAGCAATGGAGAATATTATGAGATTCTTCACCAAAATTCTCATTATCCACTCTTTTCTGTCATGTATCAAATGCTCATTAAGCGCCAATACTGTAATTTATCTTTTTACATCTTTCAATCCATGCATTCTCGACCTTCAATGGCTCCTCCTTTTTAAGTCTCCAACAATTTCTTGAAAGGATCTAGGGGTAGTCCTCAACTTCCTTGATGAACAGCCTCCTTGCCTTTCTTGTATATATCATTAGATATATGTTCCAAAGCTTTTGTTTTCAACTTTTCTCATTCCTTGGTTTTTTTGTTTGATCTAGTTTAGTGATGGGCTGGCTACAATTTGTAGAAGCTGGGAGAAAATTTGACTGCATTAACAGTCCAAACACAGTAAGCCTAACTGCGTACTATCATTACAAATCAACATGATTACTGTACTGCAATGTGATATTCAAGAGGTTCACATTCTTGCAGGCACATCCCATTCCCGTTCATGTAGAAGAGGTTGAAAGTATGCTTTTGAGAATGTCATGACATGTTATAAGATAACTGTGTGATGTGTAAAATTTCGTATGGAATAAAGAATTAAGAAGGAATCCAGCAGGTTGAATGTGTGAAAATGCGACTTATAGGAAAGGAAAAGGTTAGGGGGTGATGAGTATTTTTTCTTGTTCTATAATAATAATTATTATTATATACTATTATTTTATTATTAATTAATGGTAAGGGATTAAGGAGAAGTGTCTGAATATAAGTGAAGATACACTGTCTGCACAATGTTAAGTAATATTAACCTCAATCTGTGCAACTTTTGGATGGTATCCCTTAATGTGTACTCAGGTATTATAAGTGTTGCACAGTACATTTTAGTTGTGGAAAAGGAATCAGGTATTACTTGTCATTTGCAGGGTAGTGATTCTTTATTACTTTCAGCATCTAACCAGGACATGATTTAATACGTTTGTATACATATATATGCAGTATTTCAACGGCTAGCAAATGATCAATTCTGCAAAAGAAATCATTGCATTGTCATTTCAGTAAGCTCTTCATGTCAGCACTTTTCTCTAAATCATGATATTAGTATCTAGTAATATTCTTTTTAACAGGGCAGAGGCTATCCGGATGTTTCCACTAGGAGGTAGGAGTCTCTATTCCATTATTGTTTCGTTCTATTGCCAGACTGATATCCTAAAAAAGAATCATCTGAATCATCACCATCATATATTATTGACAGATTCCTGAGGTTGCTCACTGAGAAGTTGTGCCTGCCGACATATTGCCTAGTAGATTGTGATCCTTATGGCTTTGACATCTTGGCAACATACAAATTTGGCTCCATGGTGAGATTTTCAGAGCATTTAATTTTTTAAATCAAATAGGCAGGCCTAGTATCACAATTGGCAAACGGATGGCACTCACTTATGACACACAATCACACAACTTGTTTCTTGAAGCAAATGGCCCATGATGCCAATTTTCTGCGGATCCCTGAGATAAGGTGGCTTGGAGCTTTTCCTCTAGATTGTGATAGCTACTGTATTCCACAACAATGTCTTCTGCCCTTGACAGAAGAAGGTGGTATTATTTTCTGATGAACTAAGAATTTTACTTTAAAGTGTCTTGGTATCCTAACGAGTAAATAAAATGTCAGATAAGAAGAGAGTTCAAACAATGTTACAAAGATGCTACGTGCAAAGAGAAGTGCCTAAATGGAGGTTAACTTTTTGCTGATATTTCATCACGAAAGAAATTAATTCTAAATTTTTGTCATTTGGATACTCAACATTTGTGTCTGTGTTTTAGAATTGAATTAGAGCTGCTGCTACAGAAGGGAGTCAAATTTGAGCTTGAAGCGTTGTCTGCCTGTTCACTTTCGTTTTTGACAGACGTGTATTTACCATCTAATATTCAAGGTGGAAGGTATATATGATTATATGAAACATATTTACCACTCTTCTAGTCTCCCCTTGTATTCGTTATGTTTTACTGGGCTAATTGGGTTATGGAACACCCGATTTTGATAGTTCAAAGGTGTGGTAGTTTTGGTTATGGCAACAACAGGAAAGATATATTACTCCGTACAGAGAGTGTCAAAATGTTTTGTTATCCATTATTCTCCCTCTGTTGATTCTCCATGCATAGTTACGCAACGCAACCTAAGCCGAAGATAGATACTAGTATAAAATATGAAATGTGGATTTTGGGAAGTAAAAGACATACTACGTATAATATTTCTAGATATTCATCATATTAAATAAATGCCATTAATTTTTGTAACAATAAACCAAACGTTTTGTTAAATTGTAAAGAGATATAATGGGTAGTCCATTCTTCAGATTTATTTCTCGAGACTTGTATTAGAGCACTAGATCACGGCTACTCATCCCGCACAAGTAGCTCAATTGGTTCAGTGATGGGAAATTTGGAACAATGACCAAAGTTTGAAACTCGTAGCGTCTGTATAGAGGTCACAACTCCTACGTGCTGGGTTGGACCTCTGGGGCGCACGAGTATACCATAAAGTCTACCATAATTGGGCTGACTGAGTCACCATGACTTAGAAGCTGTTCTCTTCGCCTGATCTGAATGTTTCTGATCTGAATTTTTTAAGTTCTGATCTGATCTGATCTGAATTTTTCTGATCTGATCTGATCTGATCTGAATCTTTCTGATCTGATCTGAATGTTTCTGATCTGGTCTGATCTGATCTGAATGTTTCTGATCTGATCTGATCTGATCTGAATGTTTCTGATCTGATCTGAATCCTTCTGATCTGATCTGAATCTTTTTGATCTGATTTGATTTGAATATTTCTATAATTATAATTATAATTATTATAATTCTTATAATTGTAATTACAAATATAATTTAAATAAAATTATAATTATAATTATAATCCTAACTATAATAATAATAATAATAATTAAATTTAAAATGAAACAAACTATACCTATTACACTAATTATAAATATAGATATAATTATAATTGTAATTATATTTTTAATTATAATTACTTATATAATTATAATTTTAATTATAATTACAATATTTATCTCTATAATTGTAACTATAGTTATCAATATTATTATAATTACTCCGTAAAATAATTACCATAGTAATAAGAATAATATTATTAATAATTATAATAAAAATAATAATTATAATCATAAATTATAATTATAATATAATTATAAGTATAATTATAATTATTATAATTATAATTAATAATAATTATAATTATGTGAACATTAATTATAATATTATAATATAATAATAGTAATATAAATACAATTATTATTATTGTAACGATATTATTATATTAATATTATTATTACAATGATATAATAATAATAATATGATTATTATTATAATTATAATTATAATTAATTACAATTACAATTATAATTAATTATAGATATAATTATAATAATTAAAATTGATTATACTTATAATTATAATATAATATTATAATAATATTTATCATATTATTATTATATTGTAATAATAATAATAATAATAATAATAATAATAATAATAATAATAATAATAATAATAAAATTATAGTCTTCTTAATAATTGCATTTATATTACTATGATTATATTACAATATTATAATTATTATTAATATCTTATTTTTTGTCATATTATTTTTAATATTATTAATAATAATAATTATATAATAATAATAATAATAATCATAATAGTAATAACAATATTAATAATAATAATAATAATTAATATAATAATAAAAGTGATAAATCATGTTTGAAATTTTCTGATCTGATCTGAATGTTTCTGATCTGATCTGAATTTTTCTGATCTGGTCTGATCTGATCTGAATCTTTCTGATCTGATCTGATCTAAATTTTTCTGATCTGATCTGATCTGAATCTTTCTGATCTGATCTGAATAAAATAAGAATAAGCAATAAGTAATAAGAATAAGACGAACAGAACAACACCTTACTCCACCATTCTGTCGGGTCGGGGTGTGGAAGCTCCTGGGGTGGGAGATTCCGCTTTTTGGAACAAATAGAAACACGGCCACTCATTCACTTGTGTCTTGAAAATGCATACCAAAGTTGGACCCATATAATTTTAGCCTTTTAGGCTTGATGATACACACAAATGTCAGCGTTTGAAAAGTGTAACAAGACTAATCCACTGTATATGTAGTTTTTATCCAACATCCATAATTTTAGATTCAAAGTCTTGTTCCGTCGAGGAAGATAATCAAGATATGATAATTTAAAATTATGTACTCACCTTAGATTTGGTTTCATATGACGTGTCATTAGTATTCATCATTTTATCTTCAAGATTTTTGTTATTTGTTTTTATTTCTTCGGATCATTGCCTCATTGGCTGTTAAGATTGAATTTCATTAGTTTTGTTATGTATGTTTCCGACCTCTTACAAATTAGTCCGCAGATCTTGCTTAGATGGCTCATGGCTTTTGTGACATTAATAAATGTTAATGGTTGAAACTTCTTGGATCTAAAATATCGTTTTAGACTCTAAAACGTTTAAGAATTGCATATATGATCCTATGTCCACAGTCGTCCCCTCGATCTCACCCCCACGGTCTCTGTATCATTAACACAGCTGTTGTGTGGTAGTGCCCTCGTAATTCTCTGCCAATGCAATGTTGGGGATATTCCTTCGTCACTTGCTCCTAGCAGTCCGGTTCTGGCCGACGAACACGTATTACTCCGGCGAATTGCTTCTTTCCTCTTCATCAGTTTATGGCAGCTTGATGAAGACTCTTGATCGTGGTCCTCTTCTCTACTCTTTTGGCCGATGCACCTTGGTTTGTCTTCTAAAGTTGTTATATTCTGTCCTCAGTCCTCTCCAGTAACACAGCAAGTACGTAATAAACACACCTGCAAAGAAGAATAACAAAAAACATCGTGGCTCGAGACGCGTAAACGCTGTCCTCAGAAAGTATTTCCGGCGGACGGAAATCTTTCCCAAGGATATTGTGAAACAAATTTTAAGTATTTACTTAAAATTGATCGCAAATAATAATATATGAGAATATCGAGTACAATCTCTAAATATGAATCCTCTGATTCTTCACTTGCAATTTGAAGTAATATAATTAAAGAATTTAATTTAAAATTAAATCTCTAATCCTTCAAATATTCGAACGTTCTTCGGGTCTTCGAATCTTCGTTCTTGAGATCTTCGAATCTTCGAACATTCGTTCTTCGGATCTTCAAATCTTCTTGAATAAAGAATTCAGCTTGAAGGGCCTCCGGTTTTCAAGTGGCTTGATCTTCAACAAAAGGGCCGTTTTATGGCTTGATCTTCTGTTAAAGGGCCTCCCGGGATATATGGCTTGATCTTCAGTTGAATCTTGATTCAATCTTCATATGAATATCTTCAAATCTTCAAAGATTCGTTCTTCATATCTTCGAATCTTCAAAGCTTCGTTCTTCAGATCTTCGAATCTTCAAGCTTCGTTCTTCAGATCTTCGAACGTTCTTCAACTTTTGGCTTTGTTTGATCAAGAATAGATGAAAATCACAAAGGATTAATCATATATTCTTGACAAAAACGTGGCTTGATCTCTTCCTCTTCTTCGGAATCCTTCAGAGCCTTTCGGGAGTTCTTCAGAGCTTTGCTGCAGCATTTCTTCGTCTGGAAGTTCTCCTCCCTTCCTCTCAACTGAGACCCCTATTTATAGGTGTGGAGGGGGTGAAAATATGGCTTTAGGGTTTCCAAAATTCGTCCATATTATATGGGCCCTAATTAAAATGGGTTTTGGGCTCTATTTGCTTGCATTTAATAGCTAGAAAAATCAGCACTTATATAATGTATCTGGACAGCCTTTTTAACAAGGTTCGAGGCCATTTCTGATGCATATGGATGGATTTCAAAAACAGATTCAGTGATGTCTTTATCATTTGGATCATGTCTCTTATTCATTGGTCCAATATTTGATAACGGGCTCAAAATTAATAGGATCGATCCATTCTTTTAAGAATTTAATTTATAATTAAATTAATAATTGGATATTTTAAATAACCCAAATTAATTTAATCACTAAATTTCTTCTCAAGTGGTCTGTATCACCACCCTTTTTATGAGGCCCAAAGAGCATCACGAGCGGTTCAACAGAATTGAACATTGGCCCAATAGCATTTAAAAGATACCCAATAACATCAAAAAATAGCCCGATACCATTTGAAGAGGCCCAATGACTATTAGGACTGGCCCGATTATTTTTAGATGTCCACAAATGCCCCCTCGAGACTTGCTTGATCGTATGAAACATAAGAGAGAGCGAGTCTCGAAGTATAAATACATCGTGGAGAGAGGCATATTCCTTGAATTGGTTCGTAAAATTCAAATGACCCACTTAAGAACATACGGAGCCCATGATATGACGATGAGGCCTGATAGATATCCCAAAGCAATTAGAGCACCTTGAGCTAAATATCTTAAACAGTTATAGTGTCCAAGTGGGATTCCAACTTTATAGTTTATACTACGTATGTCCATATTAGATTCAGATACAACAAGCCTTCTTAGAACTTGAGCCCTATTAAAATTCTACTCCGTATAAGAAGTCTGGAGCCTTCCTTTATAAATAGAACCCAGACTTGGAACCCATCAATTGCATACAAACTAAAGCCAGAGCATCATAGGCAAAGAGTTTATAGGCACGGTAATTTTCTTCCTTGTTCATCTTTTACACCTCTTTCGTTGTTGTTTTTTTGTGTTGCAGGAACAATTCTGAATAATTCAAAGCCCAATCAATAAATAGAAGATTCTGCGATCAATTTGGGTAATTTTATTCCTTGCCGCTCGCTCGAGGTTCAGAGGGGAGCTGCCATAGCTATTTCAGTTTGAAGCTTCGGAGAGATTATTGTTCTGCTGCTGTTGATTTGCTGGAGCCTGGAGAGAGGAGAACCATCGTCCCTATTTTTTTCTTGTTGATGGCGCTGGGTTGCTTTGCTCGCTAAAGGAGAATCACAGGTCTTCCGGTCTCCCCTGTCCCTGCTTGTGAAGAAGATGAAAACCGGCCCTTGTTTCTGCGGCTGCTGCTAATTTCTTTGCTGGTTCCATCGAAAATCGTCCAGGCTTTTGGCGAAGAAGATGAAGAGCTGATGCGGTTTGCTGGCGGATGAAGGATTCAATGTTTCCGATTAAGCAGACTTGACTGATTGCCGGTGTTACTCTCTCGGGAGGAAGAATAAGATGAATCCATCAGTTTTAGCCTGCTGAAATTTCTGACCAGGAAGGAGCCCCTACGAATTTAGGCTGATGAAGGAACCTGTCGATGTACCTGCGAAAGGGACTGGTGGCAGATTTAGGTGGAGTCCGGCAGGCGGCGGCTGATCGTTTGCTATTACCTGGGGCGCCGTCGGTGGAGAAACCCTGGCTGAGCTCTATGCTGATTTCCAGCGAGAGAGGTGGTCGCCATTGCTACTGAATGCTTCCAGATATGTTCTGCTCGTAGGCCGCTGCAACTCTTCGCGTGAAGGAGAAGATGACGGGAGATAAAGTTCATGTGCCGCCGATGCTGCTTAGCCCTTTGTTGGGATGAGAGATTTGAAGAATTAGGTCGCTTCCTGATTGTCGGTGCTGCTTAGCCCTTTGTTGGGATAGCACCGATTTAAGGAATTAGGCCGCTTACCGATTGTCGGTGCTGCTTAGCCCTTTGTTGGGATGGCACCGATCTGAAGAATCAAGCCAATTTCCGATTGTCGGTGCTGTTTAGCCCTTTGTTGGGATGGCACCGATTTGAAGAATTAGGCTGATTGCCGATCGCCGGTGCTGCTTAGCCCTTTGTTGGGATGGCATCGGTTTGAAGAATCAAGCCGATTTCTAACCGTCGGTGCTGCTTAGCCCTTTGTTGGGATGGCACCGATTTGAAGAATTAGGCCCCTTGCCGATCGTCCGTGCTGCTTAAATGTCGCCGCCACTTTCGACCTTAGTTCATTTTGAGGGAGCTTGACAAATTATTGACCGGTGTTACCAATTTCTTCGTTCGTCTGGTCTGAATATGACGTCCGTTGTTTGGGCCTGAGACAAATTATTACCACCGAGCTGACTCTTTTATTATCATTATTATTATTACCTTAGTTTTTTTTTTTTTAAGTAATAATACTAATAATAATAATAATAATAATAATAATAATAATAATAATAATAATAATCTTTTTTTTTTTTTGCAGTCCAAAATGGTATACTTTAGAGACGTAATGCGTGGAGGCAAAAAGTATCTCTCTGTATCAAAGAAGAAGAATGGCGAAGAAATCCTTCTGGAGATTTTTAGGCCATTTGCTCGCGAGTTTTGGGGTGCGACTGTTGTGTCTTACCGGGTTGCAGACTGGACTCCTGAGTGCGAATATCAAGATCAAACAATGCGGACTTTAGTGTCTGGCTTCCTTCATAAGCCATCTTTCGAGATTTTGCCTTCTTTGGGTAGAAGAATCCTTGATGCAAATGCCCCTTTAATAAAGACCTTATTATTCAGTGGCGAATTTAGATTCATCACAGGCTACTGGGAATGGGCCGAGGACATTTTAAGCTTGAGTAAAAGTATTTTGGAGAAGGGGCTTATATATGATGCTGTTTATGCTTCCTTGTTCACATATGATCGGTGTACGAATGCTATGCAAGCCTTTTGTGAAGCGTGGTGCCCTATGGTGAATACATTACTTACGTCGATCGGCGAACTGACGATCACACTTTGGGACTTGAATGTTATTGGGGGGTTACCAATCATTGGGGATGCATATGATGAGTCTATTCCGAGCTCCTTCGATTTGTTAAATGCAGATGCTGACCGCCCTTTTCAACTTTGCAAATACCTATTTGATGCATATCATCATCTTTTTCCAACGGTGGGAGACAAACGTGCCTTGCGTGTCCCTGTGTGGGTCAAATTTTGGTTTAAGAAGGCTTCTAAGTACGTCATGCCTCCGCAGAGAACAGAAAAGAAGAGATCATCCCGTGCTAAGGCAACCTATAATCCTAGCGGAGCAATTCCAAAGTTTAGTGGGTGGTCGAATTCTATGAAGGTGCCGTTCCATGCACTCAAGGTTCCTGCTGAATATGAGGAAGAGATATACTTAGCGGCATTCCTATCATGTTGGCTTTGCGCCTTTGTATTGCCCCATGAAGGTCCAAGGATCATTCGTCCGGAAACTTTTAAAGTTGCTTGCATGATGGCTTGCGGGAGGAAGATATGTCTTGCTGTTCCAGTTCTTGCTAGTATTTATCACGGACTTAATCAAATTTCAAATGCTCCATTCCCTGACAAAGTTAGAACGTGTTTTCCTGTTCACTATGTCTATGGATGGTTGGCCACATACTTTGATACTCATTTCAAGAATGATATTCAGTCCACGACCCCATTGATGATCTCTTACTCAGGGGAAGGTGGAGCACGGTCCCTTGAGAAAACAAGGGCGCGTAGGAAGATTTTCCAGGGAGATGTATCTGCGTGGATATGTTCTACACATCGAAGGATCAAGGACCATGCTTTCTTTGATGACGAGAATTCTTCCGAGACTGACTTAGCATTCTTCAGATGTCTTCGTTCTAATTTTCTCGTATTACGCTACCAAGACCGTTGCATTGCTGAGCTTTACACTCCTCATCGCTTTAGTCGACAGTTTGGGTACTTCCAAGCTTATGCACCAGGTTGGCCTGAGAGGCGTGATCGTCGTGTTTCTCTTTCTTCTGGATTTCAGCTTTGGCAACAGTTTGCGCATGGTATGTCACGGGCTGGAGCGGTGTTTCCGACCCCTCCTACTATCCCAGCGAAATTTTATTCTTTGCAGTATAAAGAATGGTGGGGTCAAGTCCATGGAAGTTTTCTGGAAAATCATGTGAGTGATTTGATCAGGATTTACGATCTTGCTATTGGCGATGTGATTGCCCCTTCGGATCCCGCGACTCCACTCTCCAAGAAGAATAAGAAGGTACCTGATATTGAAGCTAAGTCTTTGCCCCAGAAAAAGGCTAAGCTTGCAGCACCTAGGGCGGAAGTTTTGATCAAGGATGCTGAGAAAGAAACACCTCCTGCCAAGGCGAGTGAGAATCAAGTTCTTGAGAAGCAAAGTAATGATGATAGGAATTGGAAGCATCTTCAGAGAAAACCTCATCCTGGGCCACTGAGGGTTAGTTTCATTATTTAATAATCTAATTTAACCTCAAGCCTGGACTTATATCTTCTTCCTTCTTTTGCAGATTCATCCAATCCTTGATGATGCTAGTTCTTCAAATCATGTTTCTTCATCTAGCTCAAGTGAAGGAGAAACCGATGATCATGACACCGTTGCAGGGTTGATGGCAAAAGGTGCCCCAAGTAATTGCAAAGAAGTTCCGACCAACGAGATACCGAAATCCCCTCATGTGAAACCGGCTGTATCCGTTTTTCAAGGAGAGAACTACTTCTTTACTTTGTATAAGCGGTTCCTCATTGAAACTTGGGGCGGTATTCAAAAGAAGTTAGAAAATGCTACAGTAGAGAACGTCTCTTCTCTTCGAGAGGATGTTCAGAGTTGTGTTATCCTGATGGAGAAGGACGGCATTGACCTTTCCGTGTTGAAGACAAGAGTGAAGGATTTCTTTGAAAGAGCACAAGCATTTGATCAAAAGTGCTCGACTATTGCTGACAGGGTCCCTATGGAGAAGCAGTCTCGGGAATTGGCTATGTCGCAAGCTTTTTGTGCAGATATTGAAGCTAAGAGATCTCAAAATCAAGTCGCATTACTTGATGATGAGAAATCTCTAAATGAAATCAAGAAAAAGATAGCCTTATTGGAAGCCGAAGCTAAGGAAATAGAAGTTTTGATTTCCCAGCGTCATGCAGAGGCAAGTGACTTGGATGCAGCTCTTACGAAGGCCAAGGAGGAATCTTCACGGATTTTGAAGACTATCAAAGCATCAGACGAAGGTCAACTTGCTTTAAGTACCCAGAAGAAGGAGCTAGAGGCTTTGAAGGATGACTTAGTTAGCTTTAAATTGTTTTTAGGCTGAGTTTGTTTTTACTTGTTTATATATTAGCTTTTAGTCAGCTAACACTTTCCTTCTTTTCTTTCCATCAAACTATATATGGATATATATTGGATTGCTTTCTTGCTCCTCGTGAGTTGATACTTGATATCGTCTTACTTTCCATTTTTTTTTTTTTTGACCAAGATCAAACTTTATTGGGGTTTGTGTTGTTATAACTGAACTCAAAAAAATGAAACTTTTGAGCTGCCTACGTACTCCTATGAAGGAGATCAAGTCAAACGTAGTTCATAGGTACCATTTGAATTGGTAATCTAAAAAAAAGTGGGGTGCCGTACACAGTTTTAACTCATGCGGGCCAGGAGCTTGCCGTACACATTTTTAACTCTCGTGGGCCAAGAGTATCTATGATTATGCTCACCCATAGACAAAGTGAGATGTTTTAGCAGTTTAACCACTTACAACATCATTGGTGGTTTAAGCCATTCAACATTTCCTATGGCCATATCCATACCCCGAAAATCAAGGGTAGTAAAGCTTTAGGAATCTCCCATTGATCGGGCCAATTTTCGAGCCATTTGCGTCGACCAACTTGTAGGCGCCGCCTGAATATACTTCTTGAACAACATAAGGACCATCCCATTTAGGTGAGAACTTGTGTCCAGTTTTCCTTGTAATAATGATAGGTCTTCGCACAGCTAGAACTTTATCACCAACTTGGAAAGAACGAATTCTAACTCTCTTATTGAATGATCTTGACAAACGTGCTTGATAACATTCTAGGTTCTGCTGAGCTTCTAACCTCTTTCCATCAAGTGCCTCGAGTTCTGTCAACCGCAACTTTACATTTTCCTCATCAGTAAGCCCTTCTTGAATAGCCAATCTTAAAGATGGTATTTGGCATTCAAGGGGAAGGACTGCTTCAGTACCATACACCAAAGAATATGGAGTACTTTGGGTAGGTGTGCGATAGGTCGTTCTATATGCCCACAGTGCTTCTTCCATTCTTTCGTGCCAATCTTTCTTTGACCTTGACACTACTTTCTTTAACAGGTTGCAGAGAGTCTTATTGAAAGCTTCAGCGAGGCCGTTGGCGGCAGCATAGTACATAGAGGACTTTCGTTGCTTGAAGTCGAACAACTTGCATATCTTGTCCATCAACTTGTTGTCAAAAGGTTTCCCATTGTCTGTCAAGATATATCGTGGAATGCCAAAGCGGTAAATAATGTGGACTCGGATGAAATCAGCAACATTTTCCTTCTTCACTTCTTTCAGTGCAACTGCTTCAGCCCATTTTGAGAAGTAATCAGTAGCGGCTAGTATGTATGAATGCCCTCCTGACGAGCTAGGCGTAATTGGTCCAACTACATCAAGTCCCCAAGCGTTAAATGGCCATGATGCTACCGTCGGATGCAATGGTTCTGGTGCTTGATGGATAAAATTTGCGTGATATTGACATGCTTGACATCGCCGAGCATAATCCATGCAATCCTTCACCATAGTCGGCCAGTAATATCCCATCCTCTTGATGTGAAAGTGCAATTTAGGACCAGATTGATGAGCTCCACATACTCCGGAATGTGCCTCTTCCATTGCTTGTAGGACTTCATCTCCACCCAAACATCTAAGGAATACACCATCAAAAGATCTTCGATAAAGTGTATCCTTATAGTAGATGAAACGTGGTGAACGCCTCTTTAGGTCTACTTTCTTGCGGGGATTTTCAGGTAACTTTCCATCTGTAAGATAATCAATGAGTGGCTGTCTCCAATCTTCATTTTCAATATCATAAACCGATGTAATTGGCATTTCGATTATCTCTTCGGCTGTACCATCTTCTTCGATGAAAGGAGGAATTACCCATTTTTGACATACTCGTACTTGAGTTTCATCGTCAAGATGTGCTATGTTTGATGCTAACCCTGCTAGTGCATCAGCTTGCTTGTTTTCGTTTCTCGGCACGTGTTCAATTGTAACTTCGCCAAGCCATCCAATAAGTGCCCTTGCATATTTGTTGTAAGGATGTAGTTCAGGCTTTCTGACTTCATAGATTCCAAGCACTTGATTGATGATCAGTTTTGAATCGCCATAGATATTAACCCGTGTTTGCTTCATGTCTACAGCTATTTCAAGTCCGAGGATAAGTGCTTGATATTCGGCGACGTTATTGGAGCATTGTTCCATAAGCGTGAAAGCATAGGACAGAACTTGACCATCGGGTGTAACAAAGACAACACCAGCTCCGGCTCCTTCTCTATGTGCAGCACCATCAAAATACATCTTCCAAGGAGGCAAAACTTCAATTATAAGTACATCTTCATCGGGTAGATCATCGGAAAGTTCCCACTCAGCAGGGATAGGGTGATCGGCCAGGAAATCTGCTAAAGCTTGTCCTTTTACAGACTTTTGTGAGACATAGATGATATCAAACTGTTGAAATATCAAGTACCACCTAGCAAGACGATCAGATAGAACCACCTTAGACATCACATACTTCAGCGGGTTCGCCCTAGAGACTAGATGTATCGTGTGAGCTTCAAAGTAGTGTTTAAGCTTCTTGATTGCAAATATGAGGGCTAAACATAACTTCTCAATGGGCAAGTACTTCAATTCATGTGGAGTCATCATTCTGCTTAAATAATAAAGGGCATTCTCCTTCCCTTTATCATTTTCTTGAGCTAATAGAGCTCCCACGGACCTTTCTTGAGCTGCAATATAAAGTATCAAAGGGCGACCAGCAACGGGTGCATTTAGGACCGGTGGTTTCATCAAATAAGCCTTGATATTATCAAACGCATTCTGACATGATTGGTCCCATATGAAAGGCACACCCTTCTTCATAATTCGACTAAACGGCTGACATCTTCCCGATAAGTTCGAGATGAACCTTCGTATATAAGCCAATTTCCCTTGCAAACTCTTCAACTCATGAATGTTCCGAGGCTCAGGCATATTCACGATAGCGTCAATCTTGGCTTGTTCTATCTCAATGCCTTTGTGACGAACAATAAATCCCAAGAACTTCCCAGCTGAAACTCCAAAAGCACACTTCAGAGGGTTCATTTTGAGACCAAATTTTCTCAAGCGATCAAATACTATTCTTAAGTGAGATAGATGCTCGTTTCGGGCCTTTGACTTCACCACGAGATCATCAACATAGCACTCCACGATTTTGTGGAGAATATCATCAAATATTGCTTGCATAGCTCGTTGGTAAGTAGCTCCAGCATTCCTAAGTCCGAACGGCATGACCGTGTAGCAATAGATTCCCTTAGGAGTTCGGAACGCAGTCAATTCTTCGTCCGCGGGAGCCATACGGATTTGATTATAACCGGAAAAACCATCCATAAATGACATAATTTCATGTCCAGTCACAGCATCTATCATCAATTCAATGATAGGCAATGGGAAGTCATCTTTTGGGCAAGCAAGGTTCAGATCCCGAAAATCAACACATATTCGGATCTGTCCATTTTTCTTTTTGACCGGGACAATGTTGGCTATCCAAGTAGGATATTTTACTTCTCGGATGAACCCAGCATCAATAAGTTTATCTACCTCTGCCTCGATTAATGGGATTAAATCTGGGCGGAAGCGTCTTTGAGCCTGCTTTACTGGTCGACATCCTTTCTTTATTGCTAAGTGATGAACAGCGACCTTTGGGTCTAACCCCGGCATTTCTTTGTATGTCCATGCAAAGACATCCTTGTACTCTCGAAGTAAGGCCAAGTGTTCTTGTTTTTCTTCACTTGAGAGAAGAGCACTGATATAAATGGGGCGAAGATCTTCTTCGGTGCCAAGGTTCACTTCTTGTAATTCATCCAAGGCGGTTCGCACTCCGTCTTCAAATTCAGGAGGAGCTTCATCAGCATCTTCACCTTCGGCCGGAATTTCATCTTCAAAAGTAACATGGTAAGATGAGGCAATGTATTCCTTGTCATCGGCTAGTTCATCAGATATCAACTCATTATTTTCAAGCATTTGAGTATGAACTATGGTTTTGAGTTGTGCTTTGAGGGTTTCTCCACATGAGACTTTTACATCAGTTTCTCGTCTCATTCTTGACGGAATCAAGCTTCTGCATTCATTCGAAGCTTGTGCTTTTGCATATTGGTTGAAAGACCTCTTACACGAGCGAATTTTCCCCAACCTTTCATGTATTGGTTTCCGCGCAAAATTTTGCCCACTACATGGATCTTCAACGTTCTTCACGTTCATCGGGATCATTCCAATCCTTTCTTCTAAAGTCTTCTTCATGATCTTCTTTGGCTTTGGCCCCATTCTGTCAAATATGGCGGGCCTTGATCTTGACCTCCCAATCCGATCAAAGACAGAATACTTCGGTTTAGAAGTCACTTCATCTTCTTCACCAGCACTGATATGATGCGTTGCGGCTTTATTTATGAGGATCCTTATGGGTTTCGGCTGAACATAACCCAATCCTGTGTGCCCTTGAAGATTGATCTGCCTCGGTTTCCCTTTACCACCAGCTTCTGGAATAAGTTTTCCCAAAATCTGTTCATCGGGATTATACCCAGCCTTGGCTAGAAGTTTGTACGCGTTTGGGTCAAATCCTTCATTTGTGCGTGCCTTAGGGAGCTGAAATGTCTTAACATCATTCTCGTGTTTCACTTCATCCTTAGATGTGTTTCGAGGGGGCCTTGATATTTCAATCTTTGCAAGAGGGAATACAAGCCCTTCTACGCCTTCAACGAGCTTCCCTTTCAACTTTGGTTCAGCCAAGGAGCGATACTCTTTTTCCTCTCTTCTTGCATCGTCATCTTTAAAAACTTTGGCCTTTAGATAAAACTTTGCGTCTGCAAAGTATGTCTCGGCTTCTGTGAATGGAGTTTCATCGGCTACTACCTTCTTTACAACGCCATTTTCCTCATACATGAAGCATTGATGCCACGTTGAAAGAATTACACCATTCTCATGGATCCATGGGCGGCCCAAAAGGAGATTGTATGAAGCCTTTGCATCAATGACATGGCATAAAGTGCTTGCCTTCAGCCCGCCGATGGTCAAGTCAAGACGTATCATTCCAATCGCCCTTTGCCCTCCTTGATTGAAGCCTTGAATCATCAAGCGGCTTTGAGATAGTTCATCCATTGATATATCAAGGTCTTTCATAGCTCGGACC